TGAGGTTTACCAAAGGCCTTACAGGCATCCACAACTTCTATCTCTTCCATTCTTTCTGTTCCGTCTTCCACAATCTTCCCTGAAGCCTAGGAGGAAGGAGTGTGATACAGGTGTCAAATTTAGGGCGAACTATTTCACAATCTGGTTTCAGACTCTTGGCAGTTGTTGATCTCTGTGTTAACAGCCACCAATTGAAATAGCTTCTTTTCTGAAAGTGAGAAATATGTTAACATATGGGTATAATGATAAATCAGTAGGACTTGGTTTAACACTATATACTTTTAGGCTCTCCACTAGTGCATCAGGCCAATTTATCCACAGAATCTTGGACTGAGAGCAGTGCCAGTTATCGATTTTATCTGGCGGAACACAACTTAAACCCAGTAAGAAAGTGGTTAGTAACTATTGATGTCACTAGTACATCAATAGCCATTTCTTGTAGATCAGTCATTTTTAGAGCTCCCAACATTCACCTCTGGGCAAAATACATACTATTTTTTGCCCCCAGTATTATGCACAACACTTCCCACCAGTGTGAAAGCCAGCCAGTAGGAATGAAGCTTCCAAGTCAAGTCCAGTCTGATATATCTGTGTTGTGTCTGTCACTCAGGTCCATGGTGTTCTCAGCAGTTAGGGCTTACTATAAAGTTCTATAGAGTAACCAATTGTATCAGTAAAGGTCTATGAAGTTTGGGGTTCCATGGTACCTCACTGACAACTCCAACAGAAGTAATTAACCTGGTAAAGGGATTTTATTTGTTATGTGATAGTGTCCAGTGAAGATATTGCTATCCCATTATCCTCCCCATATCCCCTTACCTACTTAACAGTGAAGTATTCCTAAGGAGGCGTTTCATGACTCATCATTTTAGTCATGCTCTATAGCACCATGTACCAAGGTCATCTATGTCCAGACATCAACCTGCTCTTGTTTTTTCCTTCTTTTAAATCACCCAGTGCAATTCCTCTTGTTTCCTTTGATGTTCCCAGTCCCTCCCAGCAATTTCTCTAAGAATGGAATTAACACCCTTCACTTATATTGAATTTTCCTTTGCTCAACATTTGAAAATTTCTGAATTTCCTTTTAAAAAACATTTTAAAAATTTTCTTTTAAAATAACCACATATTGCTTTTTTAATGGCTAGTGGACTTAGCAATTTCTACATTTTACAGAGCAACTAATACATGTACATAATATATTGTTATATTATATATAATATTGTATATAATGTGTATGTAATAAACAATATATTGTCATATTATTTATGTATTATTCAAAGATATACATATATAGAGTTTATGGGTAAAGAAGTTAAAAGTTAAGAGGTGGTGGAAACAGCAAACTTTATTTATAGCTTACTTTTCTTTTTATTAATTTATTAATTTTTCCCAGTCTTACTGTAGTTTCCTATCCCTCCTCTCCTCCCAGTTACTCCCCCACACCTCCTTTCCCTAATATTCAATCCTTCTTCAGAAAAGTGTAGGTCTCCCTTGTATAACAGCTAGTCATGGCATATCAAGTTGCGATACGACTAGGCATCACCTCTCCTATTAAAGTTAGACAAGGCAACCCAGTAGGAGGAAAGGGTCCCAAAAGCAAGTAACAGAGTCGGGGACAGTCCCTACTCTCTCTGTTAGGAGTCGCAGAGAAAGACCAAGCTATAAAACGGTAGCATATGTGCAGAGTGCCAAAGTTAGTCCAATGAAAGATGTCAGGTTGTTGATTCAGTTCCTGGGAGCCTTGAAGAGACACAATTAGTTCATTCTGTGGGTTTTCTTATGGGGTCCTTGGCCACTCTGGCTCCCATAATTCTACCTTCCCCCTCTTCTATAGGATTCCCTGAAGTCTGCTTAATATTTGGCTGTGAGTCTCTGCATCTGTTTCCAACAGTTCATAGCTTACTTTTCTTAGTCAAACAATGGATAGGGCCAGGGTGTAACTAAATGGTTGATCACTCATCTAACTATGTAAGACTCTAGGTTTGAACAGTGAAACTGAAATATGTGTGTGTTTGTATGTGTATGTGTGTGATACAAGATTTAATTTCTGTCACAAAATAAAGAAAAATATTAAGTAAAAAATGTGTAATCAAAGCAAAGGCATTAGCTCAGTCTTTTTCATCATGGCCTGCTATGGTATCTCACATCATGTGATATATTTTCTGATTTGTTCTGTAACTGGATATAATAAAGTACTTTTTATGTACTTAAAGTTATAATCTAGTACAATTTACTAATAATACTTATTGCTTGGGGGAGAAAAAAAATAGATGCCTACCATTGAATTATTAGTTTTTGAGTATTTGTGTATAAATCATTCAAACTACCCCACAGCCATATTTTCTGTGAAACTGAAATAGTCAGTGAATTTTATCACTTAACATACATTATTATTTTACAGAATCCTTGCTAATTAGTTCCATGTACTGAGCAATGCTACTTTAATTAATTGACAAGCAGAAATATAAGAAATGGCAGCCAAGCCGTCAAGCAACTTACATATCCTGTTAAGTGATTGCAGCTGATATTGTCAAAGGGAATCCCTTGTAATGTTAAATGAGTAAAGTTTCAGTAACAAGGTGGAAAACTTGCTATATCTTTATAGGAATGAAAATACAAAAAAATGCATACTATGGATATTTTATATATTATGATTGAAATGCTTATGATTTCCATGCTTCTTCTTCCACCCTTCAAACCCTTTCATCTCTCCCTACCTACTGACCTTCAAATTAATGCTCTCTTTATTTACTGTTACTGTATGTATGTATATGTGTGTGTGCTCCTAAATGTAATACTTGAATATTTAATATTGACTATCTGTATGTTTTCATGGTTTACTGTGTGGTATTGGACAACCAGCTGCCGTGCCCTTCCCTGGGAAGGACCACATCTCCTGGTCCCACTTCTATTCAGTTTTCCATATTTTTTTTTGTAGCATTGCAGTCTTGTGGGATTTTCCTTAACTAGTTTGGCATGTGTATTGGGATACTCCTTGTTCATTTCACACTTTAGCAGTCATGATGAGCTTTATGGCTGCATCTTATGACACGACATCACAGAAAACTCCCTGGAGTCTTGTCTCTTTGGGAGGAGTATCATTTTCTCCATTTTGTTCTAGTAGCAGTGGTAGTATTATAATCTGATGCATTTAAATGGTGTTTTTACTTCTGTAAGGTTATAAAAAAAATATTTTGTAAATTGATGTAGAGGACATTCCAAATAAAAGTCAAATCTATGGATCGAGTAAGCCACACCAATATCTCAGATTTTTATATAATTTTGGGAATAGACAGTAGCTTTCATACCAGATTATGCACTCTATCTATAGACATTACTTTGGCCAACGATGCCCATTTACAATCCTAAAATCCTACCTTAAAGGTCAGACACTCTTCTCCAGAAGTAGAAGTAATTCCACATCTCCAGTCTATGTGTCTCTTGAGACTAAACCTGTCAGTTGTGCATAACTGGATCAAAGATTGTAGGGAGTACCCGTTTATCATACAGGCAGCTGACACAAACTTCTCGCTTGTCTGAGGCTGACTGTGGCTGGATTTGGAGATGAAAGGTCAGTTCCTTATCCACCAAGACCCCTAGACAGTCCAAAACCCCATGTGCATTACAAATTTGAACAGTTTAAGCTCTCTTAAATAAAGGGTCTCTTTTTGGAGTAAAGTATACAGTGTGGTATAGATACAGTGGACAAGGAACATGGGAAAGGTCATATCTTTGACCTTTTAACGTCAATTGTTTTATTTATAGCTAGGCATTTAGTCTATAGGGCTTAATATAAAAGCAAAAAGAGAGACAAAGCATCTGGTTAGCTTTCTAATAGCTACCCAGTTGTCTTTTGACTTGCGTTGAAAATTAAAAAAATATTCATAACTAAGGTGACAGCTACTTTAAAGAATATTTCCAATAATTTTTAATTAAAAACATTCTGTTTAATTATAATAAAACCTAAAATAAGTTACTGATTTTTAAGGAATACTTTTCTACATGTGTAATTCATTTATAAAAGACAAAACAATGGTAGTTGGTTTTCATTACTATCTTTTCACCTGTTGAGAGTCTTGCTATATAATAAATTTTGAACCAGAACATTAAAACATAAATGTTTTCTGGATTGTAAGCATACTAAGAAGCATTTCCAACATGCCTAGATGTGTTTCTGTTTTCAATGCTATTCAGACACATCTTTAAGACAGTATCTCATGGTACCTTGGGACCAAAGAGGAGGATGGTGAGTGGGAGTGAAGCAAGGCTACAGACCATGACAGCTGTTAGACAACAAGCAGTAGAGAGATGGCTCGACGTCTAGACAGTGTGGATGCCCAAAAGCATAGTGCTGGAACTCGGGTGACTGTTCTGAGACAACTGAGGCCAATTAGAATGCTGTTGTCACTCGGTGCAGAGAAGATTGACTTCTTTGTTTCATCCATTCAGATAGGGAAATAATTCAAGCCCAGAAATTATTCTCCATGTGTATGTGTGTCTTCGTGCATGTGCGTGCACACGCACACCATGAGAAAACCCATTAATTTGTATGCTAACCTGAAGCAAAAATGATGAATAAAAATGGAATAGTTGCCTTCTCATTGGAAAGAATGAATTGTTTTTCTGAAGACCCCTAGAAAAAAGGTGATCTCATTTCATTGCTGTGACAGCCTTTTGACCGTTTCTTACCATCCATTAGTTTAATTTATGCTAAATCATAATGGAAGCTCACAAATAGCATTTTCTTTTTAATTATGTCTCTGAGTAACCCATTCTCCCCAAATGACTATATCGGTTAATGTTGGTTGTTGCTATCTGTAAATAGATTATTCAAAAATGTCTTTCCGAAAAACATGCGAAAAGGGCTTCGCAGAGGCGTCTAGCTGCGGCTGTCCCCAGGGTTGACTCCGTCTCTCTTCATCATTAACAGTGTGGTCAGATTGATCTCCCCAACCTGGTCCCGAGTTTTTAGTACCGCTTATTGGAACAATAACAACAAAAACCTCCAAAAATTCTTTAAGAATTAGAAATGGCTTCCAAAAGAGCTCTGGTCATCCTGGCCAAAGGCGCGGAGGAGATGGAGACAGTGATTCCCGTGGATGTCATGCGCCGAGCTGGGATTAAAGTCACCGTTGCAGGCTTGGCTGGGAAAGACCCCATGCAGTGTAGCCGTGATGTAATGATTTGTTCTGATGCCAGGCTTGAAGATGCAAAAAAGCAGGGACCGTACAATGTGGTGGTTCTTCCAGGAGGCAATCTGGGTGCACAGAATTTATCTGAGTCGCCTGTGGTGAAGGAGATTCTGAAGGAGCAGGAGAGCAGGAAGGCTGCCATCTTTGCAGGTCCTACAGCTCTGCTGGCTCATGAAATTGGTTTTGGAAGCAAGGTCACAACACACCCAGGGGCTAAGGACAAGATGCTGAACGGAAGTCACTACAACTACTCAGAGAGCCGCGTGGAAAGGGATGGTCTGATCCTCACCAGCCGAGGGCCGGGGACTAACTTCGAGTTCGCACTGGCCATTGTGGAGGTGCTCATCGGCAAGGAGGTGGCTGACCAAGTGAAGGCACCGCTTATTCTCAAAGACTAGAGCCCAAGCCCTGGACCCCAAGGTCGAGGCAGACCATTAGAAGCCAGTGCCTATCCTCGGCCCATGCTGTGTCCAGAAGCCAGTGAGCCTCGGGAACTAGCCTGTGACATAGCCACCATATGGGCATCCCACCCCGACGCCTAGGTCTGTACATTTCTGAATGTTCCTAGTAGAATAAACAGTTTACCGACAAAAAAAAAAAAAAAAAAAAAAAAAAAAAGTCTTTCCACTTTTTAGACATATTAGAGTAGTAACATGTTTAACATTTAGGACTTCCATCTTCCGCATAGTGTAGTTCTGCATTCTAGCTCAACCACACACGGTAATATACTAGAGAAAATCTCTGCAGGTGATCACCAGTAGCATACAGGCAAAACAATCCTGGCTTCCGTGTTTTGTTATGAAAGAAAGATCCATTTTGCTATCAATGCCTAATAGTGAAATTCAAAATTGTTGAGTATCCAACAAAGAGAGCTCTGGTTCAAGAGTAGGTAGACCTGGGTTCAAGGACACACTTGGCTCATGATTGTCGCCTTTAGATGAAGATCTCTATTTGCTTTGCTTTCCATACGGGGAACTAGGGATGTGAGGCATAATAATGATGGACTTCTGTTCTGCCCATTTTGTATGTAACAAGGATGGTTTATAACAAACATTTGTTTAGTGATTACTAGTCATTTGTAAAATGGAAAATTATTTAAATCAAGGTTGTTGATAACATTTAGGCAATTAAATGTTGTGAAGTATATAGTTAAGCAGCTAGGGATGTAATTCAATACAATGAACATGACACAAGGTTTGTCGTCACATAAACCAGATGTAGTGACATACACCTGTGATCCCCAAACAACGAGACAGAAGAAAGATAATGAAAAGTCAACGTCATTCCCACCTATTCTATGAGTTCTAGGCTAGCTTGTGCTATGTGAGACCCTATTCCAAAAGGACAAAAATATAACAATATATACAGTTCTTCGTAGTTTATTTCACATATATATATAATTAAATAAGTATTTAATTATACTTAGTAATTCTAAATCCTATGTACAAGGGCAAAGAAAATATTACCATTGAAGCTCCTGACTGTAAATTACAGCATCCTTGATATTTTGATATCCCTTGGGAATGAAAGAGGAACAAAGTTGCCCAGACAGCTTCGTGCCAGATCATATTGAAAAATGACTCTGAGCATCCTAACAGAATAAGAAATGGTGTGTTTATCAAGTGACTTTTTCCTGTTGCAGGAGGCAAGAACCTTCTTTCTGCCTCCTCTGGGACTTGATCAGGAAAGCTAGCCCAAAGATCAATCATACCATACTCAGAAAGTCCATAGCACCTGCCTCCTGAGAAAGATTTACAGGATCTGATTCTTCTCAGGTTTCACTTGTCTCCCTTTCCTTTCATTTTATTAATCAATATGATTGTTGAATATCTACTGGTCTCCTGATCCTGCATTGACTATTGGGCAGAAGGGAACAGAATCAAGCCTAATTCCTGCTGTGGAGGAGCTTTTGAGAGTCTAAATAAGAGATAAGAACAATGAAAACTGATGACCCTACCATCACCCACAAACTATTATTCCTTTATGTTGGTCAGGACTAAGAAATGTGAACTTTGTGCTAGACAACAGTAAACAGGTATTTACTTTTAGTAACTGGAGGCTAACCTTGAAAGAGCTTATTGTTTTCTTTATGTTCTGGTTCTCAGACTGAGTGTAGGTTTCACAACTTTGTTCAGCAACTGAATAAATCATTGTAATGAAATTTTATTAAATATATTAACTTTAATTAAATTTTTATAAAAATACATTTTGTTTTGTTTCTCACAGGGCAGACATGCTACAAGCACCCCTTAGTCACAATAAATACTATTAAGTGGGGGTGTAGTTCAAATTAATAAAAAAAATACTTAAAAACTTAAATGTCACACCTTTTAAACAACCATGAAAAACATCCTCATTCCTACAAACGGATTACTATGCCAAATCATCAGTTATGCTTCTTTTTGTCCTAAGCAGTTTCCACTCAAAGTCTCTAAGACTATTCACACATACTCAGGACATAGTATATTTCCATATTCAGCCCCAAAGCCCTCCAGACCTGGAAGCTCAGAATACCAAGTTGCTCTGAAATATTCATGGGGATCTCTTATTTTTCGCACCAACCAGAAGTTTATTAAAAGATGTCAGGAGCAAAGAGTTGCACTTACTGGATCTCAGGATTACATTGCCAATCATTTTCTCTCACACATTTTTTCAGTTTAAAATGCTCATTATAAAACATAACCAACTTATAAAAATATAGCATTTAGCAAACACTTAGAACTGTTTTGAAATAAATTCCATAAATATCATGTAACTTTGCTTCTAAATATACTGTCAGAAAACAAAAGCAAACCAGGCTAATGTTTGCTTTTTCTGGAGTGGTTAACCCTGCTGAAATATGACTCACTGGGGTTTCCTTAGATTCCATGATAAACAACTCACATTGTAGGCAATTGTTTCTCTAAATGTAGCTGAAAACGGGATTCTGATTCTATAACACATAGTAAACCTCTGAAGGCATCTGTCCCAGCATTACCCAGGTACCAGCCCTACAACTTTTACTGTCAGCCTTTACTCCTTATCACAGGGTTGTGTGAAATTATCTCAATTTTAGTTACAGGACATGAAGTTCTCTCCTCAAAGGCCAAGTCAAAAGGAGGGACCTCCACCTATAGGCTCCAGGCACTTCTAAATTATCCTGAGCAAAACTCAACTATCTTCCATCAATCTGTCACTCCTCATCTTATTCACCACCCCCTCCCTCAAGGAAACCTCTAGGTTTCCACACATTGCTTAATGGTAGTCCTTGTCCTGAATAAATTCCAATATCCTCATTGTAATTTGTTGCATAACTCCTTCACAATTCTGTCCATTTATTGTTCTTGATATTTATAAATATGTATCCTTTAAAAATTAATCTACAGTTTCCTGGTATGAGTTATTAGCAATTGTTTCATCCAATAATGCATCACTTCCTTTCTCATTCGCCATACCCACAAAGGCTTTGGATAGTCAATGATAGTAGAGAAATAGATCTTTCTGTGAACAAACAATGTACCAAGGAACAAAAATGGCCTCCTACCATATATGATCCATTATAGAGAGTTCAAACGCCTTGCGTGTCATATAAATGTTCTTTATAGTCTTGCTCTGTACAATTCTCGTGCTTCATTTATTCGGTTTTCCTGGTGTGAACTTCACTCCAGGCACCAAGGACTGCATGTGGATCTCCAATGAGCCTTGGCCTCCTGCCTTTGGGTTTTATTCCCTCAGCTGAAAATTGACTCCTTGCCAGTGCAGCAAGCCGACCCTGGAACTGTGTTCTCCCCACCTCAAATAGTTGGCATCCCAGTGTAGATCCAATAGCATGCATGCAGATCGAGCATCTGTCACTCTATTTACTATCACTTCTCACTTTGTGTCATTCCAAGAAGTAGCTGGATGAAGCAGTGCCTAGATTCCTTGTGCCCTGAGAATTGATGTACAGCATCCCTTGACTTCCAACCTCATCATACACAAATATGTAAACTTGCTAAATTACTATCTTCTCTGGGTTTTAGCTTCATTATAGGATAGAATGAACAGTGGCAATATTTAACTTAAAGTCTCCTGTGAGTACACAGTAATATAATGCAAAGGAAATATTTAGGACAGTGCTCCCATTGAGCCATAATAAACAATATGCCTTATGTTTAAAACTGATATTTTTATTAGTATTTTCTTCTATTTTACAATTGCTTTGGATTATAAGAGACAATGGTTCTAAAGAAAATAAAATAACATTTTTTAAGAATTTATTTATCTGCCACATGTAATAAGATTACCTCACTGATCTTCAATCCTATCAACATGAGTGGAGTAAGAACTGGTATTATCAACTTACAATTTATAGATATTGAGTCACAAAGAGCATGATTCATTGAAAAGTATAGAACTCTGGCTGAGAGAAACACAGAAGGACTTCCATCACAGAGTACTATAGCCCGGGTCCACCACACAGGAATTATTTCCGATGTGTGTGTGTGTGTGTGTGTGTGTGTGTGTGTGTGTGTGTGTATTTGGTTGCAAAGACACAAATGGTATAATTTAAGTTGTTTGCTCTTGTGGGCTCTCCATTTAGCTTACAGAAGGCTGTTTCTCATTCTATCCACGTACTGTGGAGAACAGGAAAGACACATCTTTCTCTTCTTCTAGGGTCAACAATTCTATTGGATCAGGGCCACCTTAACTTATCATTGATTGATTGTCTGCTGAAAACGTCCTTTCCAAATATAGTTGCTGTGAGTATTAGACATGAAGTATGTGGATGTGGAGGACACAATTCAGTCCATAGCATGCTTCTTTTTTGGAATGAATCTAGCTGTCAAATGCAAGGTGTGAACCAGCATAATGAAATCATTAATGTAACACAGAAGGCAAAAATAAATAAATAAATAAATAAATAAATAAATAAATATCCGCGTCCAGTCTGCTCATAAGATTTAGGGCTTTCAGCCATACTCTATACTGTATTTTATTCTATTTTGTTTTGTTACCTATACTTCTTGGAGCTTCTTTGACAGCCAAACTATGAAGTACATGTTAATAAAGCAAAGAGCAGGGGCACATTGACCACTATGCATTCAAAAGGGGCATTTTTTTAAGAAATATATTATTTTCAATGAACCATTCTCTATCACAAAACTTAAAATACTCAGTTCTGCATGGTAGCCACTGAAGGTGAGAAGCTTACTTAGACTGAGGAAAGACTGCAGAAGCTGTTAGAATAAATCCTATCTCTGGGAAGATTTGTATAAAAAAAAAAACACTCTAAAACCTGATGAGTTGGTACAAAGTGTTGAGTCTCAACCAGGCTAGTATGTGAGCCACTGGTAATGAACCTTATAGATGAGAAGAACAAGGGAAGAGATCCTACTGTTTCTCAATACCTCTCTTCCATCCACAGCACCCCACTGCACTTTAAATTCCTCCTAGTGGAACCCCAGAAACTTGACCAAGCCTCTAACATGGACTCTTGTTAACCTACACAATGTATAGACCAGGAATATCATAATTAATAATGAGCAGAAAAATGCCAGACAGCATAGGCATCTCTCCTAGTAAAAGAG